AAAAATTGACAATTTTTTCGATGATTTTATTTTATAGTTTATTTTATTAGCTTTAAAAAAATACCAAGTTTATTATTTTCCATTCCCTAGAACAAAAACTACAAGTATTTTAATAAAAACAAATGCCACTACTTTTATCAAGTTGCCAAACTTTAAAATGCGTTTTACTCGAAATGCGTTTTTTTTAATGCTCAAACGGGGACAGTGATTGCTCAAAACGTTTTGAAAATAATTAACTGAGTATGTTCCATATAATAGTAGAAGTGTTTTAACCTTCAGAATTACTGTTATATTACAAAATTTACAGTCCCGTATGTGAACATAATTACTGTTTTTTTTTTTAAAGCATTTTCATATAATAATTAAGATAAAGTGCTCTAGTTTTTGTAAAAATTAAAATATCTCTTGTGCTGAAGATCATTTTAAAAATGAATGGCAAAGCAGCACATTAAAATTGAAAATTTGCTCATAAACTTTCTGTACAGAGTGGCCTCAGTTTATGTAAATTTTGTAAATTTTTACCAATTTTTCCCCCTTTTAGTAATAATAATTTCTTTTTCTCTTCTTAATTTTAGCATATTTTTCTTAAAGTGTACTAAATAAATCTAAAAACCACAACCAATCCGCATATCTCCGTTCTTTTTTTAAAAAAAGTTGTCACAAGTACACTCTATAACAAAAAAAAAAAAAAAAACCCGACGCACCAAGAACGAGTTCTCTGATAGAGATAAAAATTGATGGGTAGAACGATTTTGTAGAGAATAGAAAATGATTAAAATTTCAGAAAAGTTGAATTATTTATTTCAGAGTTACATATAGTTATAAAGTAACAAGTTCATTAAGGTGTTCACCCACTTCTAATGTGGATGCAAGCTGCCACCCGACGTGGCATTGAGGGATAAAGCACCTTTATGGTCTCCTGCTGTATTTCTTGCCCAATTTTCTCCAATTGTCGGGTCAGGTCATCAACATTCCATGGCAGATGCAGTCACCTTCTTATCCTATCCCAGACATGCTCGATTAGGGAGTGATCTGGCAAACTGGCTGGCCAAGGAAGTGTTTGACAAGCTGTAAGACAGTTCATAGCAACATATGCCGTATGCGGTCTGCCATTATCTCGCTGAAAAAACTGCCAGGGTACTGCAAAAGGAATGGTAGCAAAACAATTCTCAGAATGTCGTCCTTCTTGGTACGTCGGGTTTTTTTTTTGTTATATAGTGTAGTTGGATACCTTAAACATTAAAATAGCACATAGAAATAATTAAAAAATATAAAAATGCTTCATTATATTCTTGAAATTACTAATTTTTTACATCAGGAGTTGATCATTAAGCTTAGGTAGAGTTAAAAAAATATTTAATGGCAAGTAATTGTTTTGTTTGAAAATATGACTGTTTAATTGTGTATTAAGCATAGTATAATTAGATTCAAATTCCTTTTAAAAGGTCAGAACAAAAGAAAAAAAAAAGAGTATTAAGCTAATAGGTAATGAAGCTCTTACAGTAGAAGATTTTATTTTTGCAATTGCACTAATCTTGTTTATAGCGAAGAGTATTTTAAAAGAAATGAGAGCAAAGCACGATAAAGAACTTATTTTTTTTAAAAAAGTAAAGAAATGCCTGTCGCAGTTACAAGCTCTCGGAAATAAAAACAACAAAATCATATATTTAATTGCATGATTAATTATGTTTAATTAAACTAATTGCGAATCTCCAAATCAATCTGCACTACAAATAGATTAAAAGCATAAAATAAATTTTGTATGCAACTTTAATGACGAAAGAAATAAAAAAAAAATCATTAAATCTCATTTGAGAGACTAGCGTGCCATTTTTTAAGCACTTCAGACTTAAAAATGTTCTTAAGGAATGAAAATGAAAGCATAAATACACCGATTAAAACGCATGTTATTATTATTTAAAAAATAATAACGAATGGTAAAAGAAACGATTGGAAAAGACAAGCATTTTTATAAATTTTTATGAGGCTTATTACACATTAGCACGCTCTCACAAAAATGAATATTTATTAAAAAAATCCGAGAGTCTTAAAATGACTCTTTAAAAATTTATAAACATTGTATAAAGTAAACAGCAATGAAACAAATTTAAAATGTATTAATATTTTAAAAGTTAACAATGAAATTAGAATATTTATATATAGCACACATTGTAAATGTTGTGTAACTTAAATTAAAACAAAATTATGGCGAAAGGGTATTTATTAGTTTACTGAAAATAATAGTTTTAAAAGATTTGTAAAACACACGTGTTTCAGAAATTTGTCTGTAATATTGTACATTAATAATTAACTTTTAATATTGAAATTAGAGTGTGCGTAGTTTGTAATCGATATTTTCATGAGCTTATTTAGCTATAGTAAAGAGCGATTATATGAAAGACCATGCAAATTTAATGCTTCAAAAACAAATACAAATGGTCTTTTTTCTCTTTGGCTTATTTACTTTTCATTTATGATTTTTTTTCTTTTGTTAAAATTATTATTGCAGAATAGAAAGTATTCCCTCAAGTTTTGAGAAAGCAATTAGCGAAAAAAAGTGAATGTAAATATTACGGAAGTCCCATAAGCCTTTTCCCTGTACACTGATTACACATTTTTGTTACATTTTCTTTATTTATAAATGAAAACGAGCAAAATATATGAATTTACAGTGTTCACTCGGTTTCCATATTAGGATAGTTTTGCTTGCTAAAAATAATAAAGAACTTATTAGTTTTCACGAAAATATAAAAGTTTTCATTTTAAAAATCTCAATTATGCAATATGGCATTTATTCTTTTGAACATGTATTCATGTTCAAAAAGTAGTTAGCAAAAGGAAGAATATTAAAAGAAGGTTTTCCTCTGCTTCAGAAAAAAAATAACACCAGAGGAAATAATTATGACTCTTCTTATTTACGTAGACATAAATATTAAATGATATTTAAATAGCTCCTATTCATTTCAGCATGTTTCAATTTATCCAGAATAAGTTATACATTTCTAAAACTAATTAGCTATTTTGATTATTTAATAAGGAAAGAAAGAGAGTATTAAGAATATGATTTTTTTTTTTTGTGATACAAAGAGGAAATGTTAATTAATGGTCCTTATTTTGAAAAGTAATATATTTTTTTTTCAAAATTATGCACATATTGAATGTTTGATAAGAGATGATTATTTTCACGGTACACTTTGCAGTTATAGCAATTAAAATGCAAATCAGTGTTCTTCTTTCAAAGTCGTAAAAAATGTAAAAATATACACTCTGTTAAAAAAGTCATTCATTAAAGTAAATTATAATAAAATACGAAAAACTAATATTGATAATCTTAATTGCTTTTAACATTTGCAAACTCAAAACGATCATTTGTAAATGTTAAAAGTACAAATCATTAAAAAATTAAGAAAAAAAAAAAAAAGAAAAAATAAATAAGACAAATTATATGTTGTGCATTGACAATCTGATATTGGCAATTGAATTTTCAGGTTTAAAGTCTTTGTATCTTTTCCATTAAAACTTGAGGTATTATTAATAAGAGATAAATAATTAATACAAAACGTAATGAAGAATTTTCCATTTACAATGAATACTAATTAAATATTGAGACAAAGCATGCACAATCCACCATCAATGTTCTTCTCTTCATTATTGAGATGATGACATGAATCTTTGCCAACTTGTACATGTGGCACTACTGCAATATAAGAATGCAAAAAAGAACGGAAGTTAAAATTGTCAATCAGCTGAGACAAGTATGAAAGTCAGCCCATAAAAAATTCTTTTTGCTTTGCTTTTTTCCTATTGAACAGCGATTGAGCGAAACGGTTCTGCGTGCTTCGTTGAATGTAATTGGCAGTTAGCTAAGAGTGCTATGAATGGGGCAGGCTGAACTTCTCCTAAATATTGCATGTATTGCATGCTCAGTTGAGTAAGGCACAACTACAAATTAAGGTTATTTCGACGTCGTGGTCATTACAGAATTTCTATAAATGACCTTGGTGATTGTAATATAACAACGGGTACTATCATTTATTGCAATCAGCGAAACAATTGTAATCTACTTCACTGAATATTCAGTTGAAAATTTCCTATCCCATATTTATTGCCTTTGCCATTTCGGGAAAAGATTCTATATAGTTTGAGTTAGAAATCGATATATTGCTCAGTAGAAACCTTGCATTATAAGTTTGGAACAAAGTTTATTTTTTTATTCTCTGTACTTTTGTATTCATTATGTTAATGAATGACAAATATGTTATTTTAATGCGATTTAAGTAAATCAAAAATCAATGCAGCTTACAAATGCTTAATTCGAAGAAAAAATATATCGTTTTTATTAATTGCATTGGAACAGATGTTTTTTAATGACAGAGTGCGTTTCTTAAAAGGACGATGGCTATCAAATTAAAAATTTTAATCGTAGCAAACACTTGAAAAAATTAGCTGCCAAATTTTGACTGCATTCAGTGTTTATTACTGTTTTACCATTGAGGAAGTCTATTAACGTATACTCTCTTAAATTCGAACAAATATTTAAAATTTATACAAAAATACAATAAAATAGTTAAATGATTTGTATATTAATATTGTCTAATGAAATTATATTTATTAGATTAATTTCTTTTTATAAATGTATGTAATTCATGTATGTATAGAAATCATAATAGGTCTCCAGTTTAGTCCAAAGACTTTTTTGTTATGTCTGGTGAATTCCAATTTCTTCCTGCTTTAGCACTGTAGGTTCTAGTACTTCTTTACTGTTATTTTATATTAGTATATATATATATATATATATATATATATATATATATA